ACCCTTCCACACGCCAATATGAAAAACAAAACTCCCGCTAAGTACTATGCAAACAGAGGTACCCTCTTCAAACTCCCTTTCAGCGGGTTACCAACCGACAGAGGCCTTCGAAATCCTATAGAACCGGTCCGCTGTTCGAGACTTACTATGCGATAGGAAAATATATATCGCCTTCCAAGTCCACATCCTACAACACAGGTCATTGGTTCGAATATGCTACCGACCCAATTCACAAAAGGCTCAGTCCTAGACACACGTACCAGTGTCGCAGTACCCGAAAGGTTAAGGGCCTCCCTTGTCACTACAGATCATATCAAACACAAAGCCTAGAACCTAGCTTATCTTGTGTATCTTTTCCTAATTATGAAGGCTCTATTTCAGGACTACCACTGTTGCTCTCCTACTCATGTTTTTAACAAGCCACACTTGAACCCCAAACCCTATTTAAATCCCTTCAATCTTTGAACCCCTTTTTTTTTTTCTTTTTAAATAGGGCCTTATGGTCCTGGCTCCATATCCATTCTGGGGAGCATCAGTCCGGTTCCTTTCCCCCGGCAAGTCATAAGATACAAGAGTTCACACACCGACGCTTCCTCCCGTCTAACCGAAGGACCCCTGAACAACATTGATTGCTCCAATCATATGGAGGATTGACTGTCAACTTGCCATCCCTCTAGGATTCCTCTCAGCTATTGCCAGTATTTGCTACCCTTAGCTGCCACATTGACTCTGTGAAAACAAGATTCCTGAAAGACGGACTATTGAGTTCTTCCATTCCTTTGCATGCTGTCGTCCCCTCAATCCTTCCCTGTGAAACATCGGCTGCCGTTCGTGTATCTTGGACGTTCTTCTAGGCCCAGATTGGAGTTGGTTCCTCGTGCACTTGGGTATTCAGCCGAGAAACAGGCTTGACCGAAATTATGCCACTCTTTCCATCTTAAAACCTGCCCATTCAGCCATGCCACTTTGCCCCCTACCAACCAGACCCGTATGAATTTGGCAAGTGTCACCTGTTCTGTCTCCGGACTGTTTTGCACCCACAGTTTGACCTTCCTCCAATGACACAGGATTTCCGCTTCAATCATCTCTTTTGAAACGGTTTCCACCTTTAGCAGTAGCGAATGCAGATCCCAGGGCTCGATCCCTAGTTCTCACTTTACCTGTGTACAGTATCTGTGTCGACCCCGAGTGTTTGAACCCGTGTTTTGGCAGTTGTTGTTGTCTGTCGTAGGTCTGTGTAGTAGTAGGGATTCGATCTGTAGGTCTGTCGAGTAGGGGTCATAGCTCTGTAGAGGTCGTAGCTATAGGTCTACCAAAAGGTCAAGGTCGTAGCTGCTACAGCCCTGAAGGGTCAAGGTCGTAGCTGCTACAGTGCCCGAAAGGCCAAGACCACAAACTTCCGGAAGGTCCTGGAAGTGGCCTTTCGGAGTGGGCTCACGTTTAGGCAGAGGCAAGTGGGCAAGTGGGCGAGTGGTGGAGCCAACCTCAGTACGTTGGCAGTGTGACTGTAGTGAGTTTGCGGTGCAAACCCATGCAGTCAGCGGTACCGGTCCAGTCAGTCCCAGTCCAGTCCAGCAAGTACCATGAGGGACTGTGTGCACCATGGGCCGATGGAAAAGGGCAGACCAGTGAGTTACAGAAGAATAAATCAAGAGGCAGCGCCCAGCCATTCATTCATTCCTGCGTGAGCCATGCGGAAGCTGGGAGAGTTCTACAGGCGATGTGCCGCCATAGCCACTTGAAGTGAACTTGTATCTGAGCTGCGTTCTTGGTACTATATCTCCGAGTTCTGAGTTGAAGCAACCTGTTTGCATGCATGTGGAGTGTGAATGAAAGCGAGTCTGATTGCACTGGTATCGGAGCTGGTACCCACTATCCCACGCGCCATAGGGCGCCATAGCGGAGGAGCACCGCCAAGAACGAGGTCCGCCATAGCTGCGCTGCGGAGAAGTGTCGTGTACCCGCACACAGAAGACAACAACGAGAGAGAGAGAGAGAGAGTGAGAGAGAGAGAGAGAGAGAGAGAGAGAGAGAGAGAGAGAGAGAGAGAGAGAGAGAGTTGGGCGATACAAATTGGTTTGGTACGCACCTGCGCTGAAGATATCACCACGGAGAGAGAGGGAGAGAATTGAGTGATACAAGACTGGTTGTGCAGTTCGATAGGGAAGGAAGTCGCGGCCATAGCCGCAGAGCTCGGACACAGGGTTGACGAAGGAAGGAGAAGTGGAGAGAGAGGAGAGACCGGAGAGGAAGAAGGAAGGAGGGACAACGAAGTGGAAGACAGACATAGTCGAGGGTGAACAAAAAAAAAAAAAAAAAAAAAAAGGAGAAAGAAGAAAGGTGAAGGAGGGGGAAAGAGAAGTGAAGGGAGGCGAGGAAGAAGGTGCTGGCAGCCATAACCGATTGACCGGCGTTGACCAAGGGTTGACCGGGCGTTGACCGGAGGGTTGACCGGAGCATTGACCGGGGTTTGACCGCGTTGACCAAGCATTGACCAAGGCGTTGACCAGGAGCTGTTGACCACGATTTTGACCAAGCTGGAGTAGGTATAATCTCGCCAAGCCCTTAGCCTATCCCCTCGCCCTATGGATGTGCACTCACTCTATGGTACTTGCTGAGTCTGAGTCTGTCTGTCTCTTCTTTCTGCATTGAGTCTCTTCTGTTCAGGTGATGGGACTGTGTATGAAGGATAGGGCCTCGTTGACTGAACCCACACGGGCTGAGTAGGGCTAAAGATTGTGTCTGACGACTCGACTGTCCCGAAGGACACGAACCCTCCCAAGGACCGGTACTGACCGGCGGGCTACTCGGTGTGGCACGGTAGGCCCAAAATCCGAGCTGTGGGCTGCACAACGGGCCGTCTAAGTCTTGAGAGAACCTGCTGACCGCGTCGTCCTGTATGCGACGTTAAAAAATTCCTGAGGAGTTACGGGGGATCTCCTTAAATGCCTCCTGGTCAGCAACAGGTTCTGTAGTGACGGCTGTAGTGATTAGAGTCTAGGCTAGAGACCATCGTTGACAGGGCTCTCTACGAACCCTGTGGTCCATAGATCGAGTCAGTCTTAAGTCGAGTCAGTTAGGGGGAGAGTCTAAGTGGTGAGGAGTGGAACTGTCACTTGGTTGTGCACCTTTCACCATGGTTGACATGCGTAGTGGCCGGAGCACCTCCCCCTACACAGCAGAACAGGAGGCAAAAACCGCCGCCCTCCTGAAAGAGAAAAGAGAGAAGAAGAAGGCCAAGAAGAGGGCCCTGCTGGAAGAACAGGCGGCGAAAATGAGGAAGATTGAGGAGGAGATGGCCAGAGAGAAGGAGAGGCTAAAGAGAGAAGAAGAAGAGAAGCTCAAGGCGGTAGAAGAGGGGAAAGAGGAGGATGAACAACCACTGGAAAGGCGAAGAGCAGGAGGAAGAGGTGAATCCAGTCGCACAAAAGAAGATCAAATGGAGAAGAAAATTACAGAGTGGGTTGCTGGTTTGTCCCTGGGGGAAGAAGAAGAGGCACAGATGTATGTGCCCAAGGAAGAAAAAGAGGCCGCCATGAGAGAGTGGGATGTCGAAGAAGACCCACTCAAGCGGCAGACTATGGAGGATGAGAAGATAATGGCAAGAAACATAGAGCGTCGGGCACAAGTCCAGGAAGAGCAATATTTATTTGGTAGAGGTCAAGACATTGCCTTACGCTCTATACGGTTGGGGCTCAGGGACTTCGCCAGGGAATTGACGACGCAGGTGGGCTCAGAGGTGAGGGTCCGCCTAGAGGGCACAAAACGTTATTGTACGGGCGCCATAGAAGGCGCCAAATTGACTGCTCCCAAGGAGGAGGAAGTACGTCCCCGAAGGGAGCCTGTCAAGGTCAAGTTCCCTGACTCTTATAGTGGGAAGAGAGAAGAGAATTTTGACAATTGGGAAGCCAATGTCAAAACCTACGTCCATCTCCAGAAGGTCTCCCCTGATGAGCATGGGTTGATAGCCATCCATGCCCTTCGAGACGATTTAGTTGCTTATTTTGCGTTCCTTGTGCCACGCCGCTAACTGCAATGATGATTTAGTTGCTTATTTTGCGTTCACTCCCCTCACTGACTTCCTTAAGTTGTTGCGCGAACGATTTGCAGACGTTACACGTAGTGTCAAGGCCTCAGACAAACTGCAAACCATCCATTCTCGCCAATGGAAGAGTGTCAGGGCACTCAAAGGTGTGATGGACGAGTTGGTCGCCGTTCCTGACCATGGGGTCACTGAGTCCCAGTTGGTCAATCTCTTCTACCGCGCTATGCCCGAGCAATTACGCGGGCATTTCTTTGAAAAGAGTCAGCAACCTACCATGACCTACGATGCACTGAGCAGGGAGTCGCACCATCTCGGGTCAAGTCAAGACCAAGGATCGTTTGATCCTTACGTTAGATGAGGGTGGTGTCGCAAGGTCCCCTACGAGCAGATTGAGTGGGGACTAGAGGAGGAGGACAGTGGCGTTAGCCAGGGGAGGACTTACGCTGCTGTCGTGGCTGGAGGGAGGCCGCAAGGAGGAGGTAGAGGCCAGGGCCAAGTGGGCCAGGCCTCAGGGGGGCGTTCCCAGGGCGATCAGGGGGTTGGTGGTAGAGGAGGAAACCGCCAAGCGGGAGGAAGGGGTAAAGGTCCCCCACAAAATTCAAGGAATAGGTCGCCTAATAGGGGTAATAGATCACCCTATAGGAGAGGAGGATTGCACCCAGGTCTGCCATAGGGTAGGCTTTGGGAGGACTTGGGCCTGGACCAGCGCGTCTGGCAACAGAGTGTGGACCAGAGGCAGTGCATTTATTGCGGTGACCCTGGCCACATCATCAAATACTGTCCAAAGGACAGAGCGGCCCGGGGGGCTGCCCAGGGGTCAAAAGGCAGCCGCCAGTAGGGGTAGCAACTGCCCCTACAATAAGGCCATGTGGGGAAATGAGCGCGAGCCAGCAGGAATCTCCCACACCACATGTGCCTATGGCAGAGGTTGCAGGCCGGTGCCTCAATAGCTGTCCAGAGACTGCTTGTGTTAGGGTCTCTCTAGGCACTTCCCTCACAGGCGTGACCGATGAGCTAAAGGAGAGGATGCCCGCCTGGGCCAAGATGAAAAAGGAGAGTAGAGGACAACTAGTTTTGGTAGATGTAGAGATTTTCAGAGGTAGARTARGGGCCCTAGTAGATAGTGGGGCCACACRCAGCTATATCAGTAGAAAGGCGCTGCAGAAGTTGAAGTTGGGGCTAAAAGTCCAGAAGYTAGYAGACCCCAYAGTGAGCATCCTCGCAGACAATCGCACGATGCGAGTAGAGGATTATGTAGAGGGAGTCCAGGCGTACTTTCGCCTAGAGAAAGATGGGAAGGTGGAAAAAGTTCTCCATTCCCTGACTCTCCTCGTAGAGGACAACCTTCCTTTTGACATAGTTCTGGGAATGGACTAGGGAGAGGCAGTTGGGGCCACACTCCATTTGAGAGAGCACGAGTATAGGCTCCCTAGTCCGCCAGGCGGAGTCAAGACTGCCTGTCTGTTCCATGTGTCAGGAGTAGATAGCTCCCTGGCACATTGTTGTCTTCGCGCTCCTGCGTTCGCAAGATTAGTGAAGAAGGAGCAGCTAGAGGAATAGGTTTTCGTAGCCTATGTTAGGCCAGTGTATGAGCCTAATGAGGAGAAGCCTATAGACCCTGCTATTGCCAAGCTGCTGGAAGAGTTTACAGACTTAGCTAAGCCGCCAACAGGAGTAGTACCGCGGCCAATCCAGCATCGCATTGAGATAGAGCCTGGCAGTATGACTCCTGAAGGAGCAGTGTATAGGATGTCCCCACGGGAGTTGGAGGAGCTGCGCAAGCAATTAGACGAGCTCCTAGAGAAGGGTTGGATTAGGCCCATTTCGTCTCCATTTAGAGCACCTGTTGTGTTTGTCCCCAAGAAGGAGGGAGAGCTCAGAATGTGTATAGACTATAGGGGTCTCAATGCTATCACCATGAAGAATGCAGCGCCTCTGCCCCGTATAGATGATCTTTTAGATCGGGTGCAGGGTTGCAAATATTTTTCAAAGATAGACTTGAAGTCCGGATATCATCAGATAGAGGTTCATCCTGATGATCAGTATAAGACCGCGTTCCGGACTAAATATGGGCACTACGAGTTCATAGTCATGCCCTTTGGACTAACCAACGCGCCAGCAACTTTTCAGCGTTGTATGAATGACTTGTTTAGGCCGTGGTTAAACAAATTTGTAGTGGTCTACTTAGATGATATTCTAGTGTTCAGTAGGACCCTCCAAGAGCATGAGGGTCATCTAAGGCAGGTCTTGGAGAAGCTCAGAGAGGTTAACTTCAAGATCAACGCAAAGAAGTGTGAATGGGCAAAGACTCAAGTTCTGTATTTAGGCCATGTCTTAGACGGAGACGACATCAAACCAGAAGATAGTAAGATTGCAGCGATTAGAGATTGGCCTATACCTCGCACGTTGATAAAGTTGCGGTCGTTCTTAGGCCTAGCTAACTACTATAGGAAGTTTGTTAGGAACTTCTCCACCATCGTTGCGCCCCTTCACAGGTTGCTGAAGAAAGAAACGATCTGGAAGTGGAACAAGGACTGCACGTCTGCCATGAAGAAGTTAAAGCAGGCATTGATAGAGTACCCAATCCTCAAAGTAGCCGATCCGTCCTTACCTTTCGTCGTCACTACTGACGCGAGCCAGTACGGTATAGGTGATATGTTACACCAAGACGATGGCAATGGGTATAGGCCCGTAGAGTTCATGTCTGCCAGAATGCCTTCAGAGAAGCTAGCGACATCTACCTACCTACGAGAGGGAACTCTACGCTCTCAGGCAAGCTTTAGAACATTGGAAGCACTACTTGCTTGGGAGGCACTTTAAAGTTTATTCAGACCACGAAACGTTAAGGTGGTTAAAGACGCAGGATGACACCTAAGCGGACTAGGTGGGCCGCCGAATTAGACCAATATGATTTTGAGCTCAAGCCCGTCAAAGGGAAGTATAATGTAGTTGCGGACGCTCTGAGTAGAAGAGTTGATTACTTTGGAGCGATAGTTCATTATCTAGATATAGGGAGAGACCTGCAACAGAAAGTTAGAGAGGCGTATGCGCAGGACCCTATCTATAGTGACCTCCTCAAGAGAGTAAAGGAGGCCCCAGAGTCAGAACCAGACTACTGATGGGCTACTATTCGAGAAGACTAACGTAGTTGACCGATTGTGCATTCCTAACAGTGAAGAGATCCGTAGTTTGATCCTAGGGGAATGTCACGATACTGAGGGACATTTTGGTTGGCAAAAGACTCTAGCTAACCTCATGCGCGCGTACATATGGCCTGGGATGAAGGCCGATTGCATAGAGTACGTTCGCAGTTGTAAGGTCTGCCAGAGAAATAAGACCTCTGCGCGCATCTGTTTTGGGTACAGAGGGTCATAGGTTCGAATCCTGTCACCTTGAGTCAAAATCAGAGTAAATTGACATGAAAATCAATCGACCATTATCACCTCATATTACTATTTATAAGCCACAATTAACTTCTACTTTCTCTATTTTTCATAGAATTTGTGGTGCTTTTTTAGCTACTACTGTTTTATTTAGTATTCTTTTTGTCAAAATTTGTGAACTTAGTCTGCCCCTCTAGGTCTTCTCAAACCCTTGCCTATTCCTGATCAGCAAGGATATTCAGTGTCCATTGACTTTATGGACACCCATGTCAAGAGTAGGCACGGCAAGAGCCAAGTCATGGTAATAGTTGACAGGTTTAGTAAGTATGTTGTTTTTGTTCCTTTGCCCTCGGAGGCACACGCATAATTAGTTATTTAGAAGTTCTTTGATCATTGGGTCAGTGAACACGGGATTCCACTGTCTATAGTTAGTGATAGAGACACCAGGTTCACTAGTCAAAACTGGCAGGAGTTGATGAGAGTCTATGGCTCCAAGTTGTTGATGTCATCTAGCCGTCATCCAGAGACTAACGGTCAGACTGAACAGCTGAATGAGGTCCTGCAACAAGTTCTGCGTATGTACATTAGACCGGATCAGATCAATTGGGATGAGATGTTGCCCAAAGTAGCCAGTGTGTACAATAACAGCGTGCACTTGTCTACCTGTCGCACTCCCAACGAGTTACACAAGTCCTTTAGACCACGTAGACCGTTTGAGGGACTTGACCAGGACCAGATTCATAGGCTACCGCCCGGTACTAGGGAGTTTGCGTTACAGCACGTGAAAGAGTTAGCTACTGTGGTAGAGAACCTCAGGAAAGCCCAGCACCGAATGATAGAACAAGCTAATAAGCACCGTCGCCCGTCACAGTTTCAAGTAGGCGACCTGGTCTTGGTCAAGTCCAAAGAGTTTGCTCTTGAGGAAAACATCTCGCAGAAGTTACTGCCCGCGTATAGAGGACCGTGGCCAGTTCTGGAAGTTAAGGGCGGAGAGGATGGGCCGTGCTACACAGTAGAGATCCCAGCACACCTCCACACCTACCCTGTGTTTCATGCCTCAAAGTTGTTATTGTATGTCACAAGTCATTGGTTTCCATCTAGAAGATCCATGATTCCTCCAGACATGGACGAAAGATACGACCTTGACGGCATTGTAGGTAAAGACGTATTCAGAACAGGAGGTAGAGGTCGTTCACAGAAGCAGTACAAGGTTCAATTTGTTTATCAAGAACCAGAAGACGACCGCTGGTTTACTAGAACCGAACTTCTAGAAACAACTCCCGACATAGTTAGAGCCTACGAAAGAGATAAGAAAGGTAAAGGTCCCGCCTTGGACTCAGTTATTCTCGGAGGACCTCGAATTTAGGCCAGCGGGAGTGAAACAGTTTTCACGTTTAGCAGTAGCGAATGCAGATCCCAGGGCTCGATCCCTAGTTCTCACTTTACCTGTGTACAGTATCTGTGTCGACCCCGAGTGTTTGAACCCGTGACCTGTGTTTTGGCAGTTGTTGTTGTCTGTCGTAGTTCTGTGTAGTAGTAGGGATTCGATCTGTAGGTCTGTCGAGTAGGGGTCACAGCTCTGTAGAGGTCGTAGCTATAGGTCTACCGAAAGGTCAAGGTCGTAGCTGCTACAGCCCTGAAAGGTCAAGGTCGTAGCTGCTACAATGTTCGAAAGGCCAAGACCACAGACTTCTGAAAGGTCTCGAAAGTGGCCTTTCGGAGTGGGCTCACGTTTAGGCAGAGGCAAGTGGGCAAGTGGTGGAGCCAACCTCAGTACGTTGGCAGTGTGACTGCAGTGAGTCAGCGGTACCGGTCCAGTCAGTCCCAGTCCAGTCCAGCAAGTACCATGAGGGAATGTGTGCACCATGGGCCGATGGAAAAGGGCAGACCGGCGAGTTACAAAAGCATAAATCAAGAGGCAGCGCCCAGCCATTCATTCATTCCTGCGTGAGCCATGCGGAAGCGCTGCCATAGCGACTCGTGCGAGGTGGTCTGCGAGGACGAAGTGGGCGAGAAGGAAGTTAGCCATAGCGGTAGAGTAGTAGCGGCCACAGTGCAGAGTGATGCATGTGAGGTATCCAGGGTGATCCTGTGTGCGAACAGCAGTGTCGAGTAAGTGACGAACAGAGAGTTGTACAGGCGATGTGCCGCCATAGCCAGTTGAAGCTGCGTTCTTGGTACTATATCTCTGAGTTCTGAGTGGGCGCTTGACGCCAGTTTGCTGCGCGACCTGTTTGCATGCATGTGGATTGTGAATGAAAGCGAGTCTGATTGCACTTTGGTTGCTGCCCACACTTTCTCCCGTGGATTCTTCGTGCCGTCCAGAGTTCTTCTGCATCTCTCTTTCCATATTGCCCAGAGCATGACCGTGCGTAACATACCGAACCAGATTTTCTCCGACTTGTCAAGGTTAGAGGGTAAGTTAGTCCAGAGGAGCAGTTGAAGGGGGTGTTCTGGGAGGGGAGATGAGAATAGACTGTCCCATAGGGCTGCTGCTCTTGCCCAATAATCTGTAGCTTCTTTGCAGTTAATCACGCAGTGTATCAAATCTTCCTGTTCTTAGTCTGAGCAAACTGTGCAGACATCCGTGCTGGTTGGGTCGTTCTTTCTTCTTCTAACATGTAACCACTGGTTAACCGGTAGAGCAACATACGTTACGAGCCACTGCATGCTTCTGATTTTTATGGGTCTTATGACTCTTATCGTTTTATATTTTTTCCATGGAATTTTTGCTATCAGGTCTGCCTCAGAACCAATTAACTTGCGCCATCTTCCTTTGATGATTGGGTCTGGGTCCTTTGTTTTTAACAGCATTTTATAACCTAGCTTAACTGTGTAATCAGAAATTGGGATTGGTGGTAAAGTAGTTCTGTTTCGGTCGGAGGGCCAAGCCCATTCTGAGGGGTCAAACTCGAGGTCTTGAATTGCTGTCCTTATTTGAAATATCTGTTTTGGCCAGAGTCCTACTGCTCTTATTTTACGGAGCATAAACGCATTCAGCACTACTCTTTCTGGGTAGATATTCTGGATGTACAGATCATCAGGCTTGGTCTTCAGGATCGGGAAGGATGGGCTGGGTTGAGCTACTAAAGGAGGAATTCACGTGGAAAGCGGGTGAGTCCGTCCCGGGATTTCTAGAAGTCCATCTGGTTCCAATTTCAGTCCATCTGGTGTCCAATTTCAGTCCTATCCCTGTGCTTCCCTTTTTCCCAAACTACCCCTTCGGGACACGGAAAACACAGGGCGAGAACAGGGTTCATATCCTGCATAGCAATCATCACATAGCGACCTGACAAATGCAGGCAAACAGCGCTCTCACTCAGAGCAAATCGAACCAGCAAGTAGCAATACTCAGAAAACTGCATAAATCTCAGACTGATTCCTTGTGGGTCATTACAGAGCAATCAATGCCGCTGTCTCAGGTGCCCTCGACCATTCCGCCGACTTCCAGGTTTTGCAAGGAACCCGCAATCTCAGTATGTGGACACTGTACCTTCATGCACCCAAGGAGGGGTCTGATACTTGGTCAATTCGGTCCCAGGAGATTTCAACTCGTTAAGGGCCAGGTCCAGGAGGTAAAATAGGCCAAGTGCAGTCCAGCCCGTTGACCTCCGGTGGCTAGATTGCCAGTAGGTTCCAGTCCAGTCCAGTCCAGCTCAGTTCAGTCCCAGTTAAGTCGGAGGCCCAAGCTCAGAGAACATTCCGAAACGTCAAAGGCCGAGAGGCTCAGGCTGCAGGGTACCGCGTCTACGAGGCCTACTGGGTCTTCGCTAAATTTGGTTTTCCTTTTAGCTACTTGCTACCTGGCAGAGAAGCTGAATCGTCAGATACAAAACCAAAACAACAGTTGCTGCCATCATTCATTGCCACTCGTGCTTGCTTTGAAGGCAGTGTTCAGCTGTAGTGCAACCAGGTGATGAGCTAGACAGACGAAGTGAGGCTGACAGTAGTTCTGGTCTACAGGTGCTGGGTGCCATAGCAGAGTATACCATAGGCGAGAGGGAAGATCTTCAGAGAGGAGAGCGAGAGGCATGAGGGTCGAGAGAGAGAGTTCATCTTTGGTTGCTGTTGCCAATGGCCACAGCTGGTGTACATAAACTTGATTATATAAGATGCTTCGAGACCATGCATGCGCGTTTTGCACGAAACTCAAACCATGGAAACACACACACACGAATCACATGAGAGCTCGAAACTCAAAGATGGTCATGGTCAATCAACTCAGATATACAGAATTGTCTGTATATATGGGAGTGCGGCTATGGCCACCAGGTAAGCTCTCTCTCTCTCTCTCTCTCTCTCTCTCTCTCTCTCTCTCTCTCTC